GAGAGGAGAGGAGAGGAGAGGAGAGGAGAGGAGAGGAGAGGAGAGGAAAAAAAGAAAGAAAATAGGGAAAAAAGAAAGAAAATAGGAAAACAAACAAACAAACAAACAAACAAGAAAGGGGAACAAAAGGAAAAAAAGAAAAAAGGGGATAGGAGAGTGATAAGCTGTACAGTTTTACTCTTTCAAGATCCTACTGACCGATCCGCTGACCAGTGTGTCTGTCTGTCTGTCAGTCTCGTGGTATAGATCATGATACCCCACAGTTGGGTGTCTGGCCTGACATACTTTGTCACATACTGTCCATTCTTGAGTAATAGGAAGGTTTATCCCCCTCACTACAGAGGAATACTGGTCAGGATATACCTGACTACCAAGCATATGTGATAAAGATACAGGGCAGTCATAAGTCTAACAACTTTGCTTCATTCTAACATTGTCACTTCATTCGTTTTCACTGTTGTTTCTTTTTAGCACACTTTCTGACAGCTAGCATTTTATTCATCCTGATTGCTTAGCAAGGTGTGCATTCTACACACCACCTCTCTTGTCCTTTGTTGCACAACTTACACTGATATTTCCTGTCATGTTCTCTTTTAAAAAGTAAAAGCAGAAAATACTCCACAATGTGTGAGATTACAAACTACAATTCTCATGCATTTCCAGTTAACTTTTGGTTAAGTATTTCCATGTGATCATCCATTTTCATCCTTTTCTATTTCAAAATTTGTAAAATTCTTGGTGTTACATGGAAAATCTTGACATAACTGTTGTTATTTACAGATGTAATGGCACAAAACCACCTAACTATATGAAGATTTTATGTTATCTCTGCTAAAATGAACATTTTGATGGCAGCTTTAGACTTCAGTTCTTCTCCTGGCTTCTTTGGAAAACTAGAGTATACACAAAAGTGATTTAGCCTGAAGAAATCACAGTCAGTAGTAGGTCAGTAACTGACTGATGGGTGACTATGGCAGGTATTAGGTATATAAGATGGCATTTAAGTAAAGAGTGCCTCTGCTAATGTCATTCTTAGGACACTGCATGTTTCATTTTTCTCTAGATCCTTTCACTGGCTTAAGCAGACAAGCCTCAGTCTGTACAAGTGGACTGTCAGTGGAAGTAGTCAAACAGTAAGTCTCCTTACTCCCTCCACTTAACAAAACTATATTTAATTGAAGGGATAAAAACAGCTTAGAAATAATTGGGAGTTATAAAAAGTTGCATTATCCAAAATACTGGTTTAACTCAGACAAAAATAAACTAGACACCATACTGATTTACATGATGGTATTGCTGTTGCAGAAACAAATTACCCCAAAACACTTGCTGCAGTCATAGCAAACCCTCACAAATTATATTCAGGAAATGCATGACACAAATGATTCAAATGAATCACTATCATTTGTCATGTCACACTTCAAAAACACTGTTTTGACTGTATAAAATTAAACAAACGCCATTTTTATGCCAGTTCTACTCCAAATGATTTCAAAATAATTGTACAAACTCATAAGGGATTTCAAGGTACACAGTACTATAGTGAATGCTGTTTCATTTTACTCCCAGGATCTTCAAGAATTTTCAGAGGAAAAAAACCCACAACACCAGAAGCAAAACAACAGAAATACACTCTAATACAATTATTCACCTGAACATTATCTGAAGAAAACAAGCTAGACAGCTTGCTTGTAGATAAGTCAAAACAGTTTTTAAATTGTCAGCTCCATACAGGAGATGGATGTCTATAAATTTACTAGAATTTGTCAAATTATTTGACAAAAAAAATCACTCTATTTAATGGCCAATTACTTCATAAAAATTTACCATAAAGTTCAACTGTCAATACAAGTTAGTACGGTATTAGATTGTTTGGGAGAAGGATTAGAAGAGTTAGAGATCAATTAATTGTCAAAATTATCAGAAAACTATTTAGACTTGATATTACCATAAACACCTACATTAGACTATTTCTTAGTCTTGCTTCACAGATAAAACCTTCCAAATTCAAACTGATCTAATGTCAGCTGTTCATATAATAGCAGTTGTAAGGTAAGTCAAGTCAGACGGCAGCAACAAAATTTATTGTAATATAGTAAGCAGAAACCTCCTAGTCCTTCCATTAATAGTTCTAGTCCATTGCTGTGAATATAAACTAATTTTAAGACTTCTCCTGACTCCACTATGGCTAATATCTTGGATATCTTCTTTGTTATAGAAAACTCCTCCATGCTTTTAACTAAAATATAAAATTCTTCAATATTTGGTCTAGTGTCCATCTTCTACCCTTGATGCCTTTTGAGGCACAGGTCAGAATTCCCATCCCAGCACACAAGGGTTCCCTTTCCATTTAGTTTTTTCCTAAGGATTCACAGTTTCTGTAGCTACAGTTTCAGAACATTATTCCCCTTAACTACATTCCTCCCCAACACACAGCAAATAAAACATTCATTTAGTAAGATGTGTCTCACAGCAGATCTAGATAAAGATCTGTTTAAATTAGGGCAGACTTTACATGCTCTGATACTGTATACCATACATGCACACCAGAAACTTTTAAATTCATAATATGACAATATTACAGTAAGAACACTATCATGGACACAGCACATAGCTCTACATTGCTCTATGTAATAGCTAAGTAAACATTAATTATTTTTTTGTTGTTCCACTTCTGCTTTTCCAGTATTTTATCTAAATACATTAATGTCATATTTGCTAAAGTACAAAGGCAGAAATATTCAGGTAAATTTCTTCCTTTGAAGCTTTCACAGTTTAGACAGAACCAACCATAGATCTGGATTTTTCCTGGTTGTGTGAAATCAAAGAATAGTCCCTTTGTCTTGTTTCCAATACTAAGTAAACACGGTCTGATTATTTCATTAAATGTGTTAGCAAAAGGCAGAGGAATAGGTTACAGATTCATAGAACCACAGAATGGTTTCAATTGGAAGGGACCTTTAAAGATCATCTAGTCCAACCCCTGTGCCATGGGCACAGGGATCTTTCATTAGATCAGATTGCTCAAGGCCCTGTCCAACCTGACCTTAAACACTTCCAATGATGGGGCATTCACAACTTTTCTGGGCAACCTGAGAAGTTGTGGATGAAAAGAGACAACAAAATTTTCTTGAAATTACAGTAGTAGCACATCTTCCTTCAGCAGATTATATCCTCTCAAAAAATGGTGCAAATGGAGATCCTTTAGTTGTTCTTCATACAAACCTCAAAAGAAGAAAACTTTGGTTGAAATCCTGTCCAGCAGTAACTATAGGCTAAGACACTGAATTTTTAATCTCAAAAGAGAGCTACTTCTCCATGGATTTTCCACACTTTTCATATGAACTGTTTTCAAAAGACCCCGCTGCCATCTTTTTTTCTTCCTTTTTTCTTTTTTTTTTTTCCCTTTTCTGCTCATGTTTTCATGATGATAATTAGGAAAGATTCTGTTAAATGGGTGCCTACCTACAAAAAGCTGGCTGTTGAGCTGCAACCGAATATGCCCATCAGGTGGAGCACCATGAGACCTTTGAGGAAGCTGATCTACTTGTAAGGATGCTTCTTTGATGTTTCGTTCAGCCTTCACATAATGCCACTGGTTGTCATTTAAGGAAGTGAGGGATTGCACTGTAACTTCGCTAGGTCCATTTCCAACATCGAATGAAAAAATCACTTCAGATGGAGCTAGAAAGAGGACAGTAATAAAGGACATTTAAATTATTTCATAATTAATTGGGTCACAAAATCATTAAGTGGCAGAACAAGTTACTTTAAGGTCTAGCCTACTATTTCATGGGATAAGACTGATTGTTTAGGGGAATAGTTTACTTTAGGAGGCCTATCCCCAAAGCTTATTCTTCACACTCACTGACAGTGAGAACAATGATTTGTCAACACCATGGAATTCAAACTGTTTGTAGACCACTAGAGAGCATTGTAGCCAAGAAACAGTGAAATGTGCCAGCTTCATTATTTTTCAGTTTGGATAAAAAACATCTCTTGACGACATGCTAATCGATTACCATTGTTAACTATATTTAAATTATCACCACTATAATCACATACTGTCTATTTATTTTTGTTATTTATTCAAAAAATCTCTACAAATGTCAGAGGGCAAATTTTGATGTAGTTTATAAGACTATGTATACGGTGAATTAAATTGAGTCATTCCCTAAGCAACTTTCACATTACACGGTTTAATAGTTTGCTTAAAAAAACATAACTGAATCTTTGCAGGTCAAAAGAATAAGATGAGGAATATGTCAGAAATTGAAGATCTGAAAATTATGAATATTCTCTCTGAAACTCTTTCATTCCCATATTCAAGGACAATCATGTATGAAAATAAGTAATCCCTAAACAAGGCATTACCAGCATTTTGAATTATTAAGGATTTGATTAAAGGACTAGAGGTCTGAGAAGATTCCATGAATCCAAGAGAAAGGTTCCCATTTATGTCATAGGACTCTGAGAGAAAAGCAAAACCATTATAAATAGTCAAGGGAAATAAATCAGGTTCAAAAAATATTTTCAAGGATTCATTTACTGAATTAAAAAAAAAAATCAATGAAATATTTTTATTTTCTTTTCACTTTTAAAGATACATTAGACTTTTTACAACTTTTAGATCCACTTTAGCCAACCTTTAGACTGAGTAATGCCACATGCTTGCAGTCCCTTAAGCCCTGAATTTGGTTGTTATAAAGTATTTTTCTGTAACAGTTGAACCTGAGAGAGAAAAGTAACAGGACAAATACACAAAGCATTTAGCTTTCCAAATAAAATAAGGCATAATGTGCAGTCAATTTTTAAACAGAAGGCCTTTTGTAATAAATGATCTTTTCTGCTTAAAAATCAAGTGTTTTATATAATAATAAGAAATAACTGATGTCTAAAAAGAGTTCCTCAGTAAAATGAATTTTAGGATAATTTATTTCATTTGGACAAAGTTGAGAGCTCAGTCTCCCCTTACTGAGGGGTAAAAGAAAAAAACCAACCACATAGTGGGAGAACAAAAGCATCAGAAACTCCATGTGATCAGGTAAAGAGAATTTCTGCTGAATGTTACCTTCTGTAGGGAGGTCTTTGTAATCCTCTGGATACTGTTGGAGTGAAGCCTGAAAACACAAATTCTGCTTTGAACTCAAAGAATGTGCCTATTAAATAGCATATCAGAATGACAGATCTGATAAACAATCTTACTGTTTAGATTTTAAAGGCAAGAAAACACATAATAAAGATTCTGAAAAAAACCACTGAAATAATGAATCATGTTAGTACCACTAAAAAAGTAATATAATCTTGAAAAAAGAGAACCAATCCCAGAAGTTCCAGAGATGAAGGCCCAGGTATCAAGGACGACTATATGTTCATCTGTTGGAGTGTCTGAAGACTGACCAGAATATGTCAGAAAAAGTGAAAAATGTCATCAGTTAACATTCTATAATGTTTTAAATAATTCTGCTAAAACCAACTACACTGCAAATTTGGAAGAAATTTGGCATTTATAAGCACAGTGGTCAAACCAGTTGTAGAAGGTATGCCACAGGACATGGAAAGATGTTGACTGAGTTCTAAAATTTGTCCTCTTGTGAGAAAGGACCAAGGCAAAAATCACTTTGGCCATTTTCTGGGCATCAGGGGAGAGTATGCCCAGAAGTCCTTTTCCAGTACAAAAATACTTTGTGGGCCCTACCTACCTTGGTGTTACTCAAAAATTTTCCAAACATTGCAGGGACTCTTGTGGCCCTAATGCACACAAACATAGGCAGAGCACAGCTATAGATTGGCAAAGTGGAGCAGAAGGGGCAGTTGATGGTAATCACGGAGAGTTGTCAGTGGCTAGATGTGTCTACAATGACTAACAGAAAGCACCGTCATTGAGAACCATTCAGAGTATCGAGGCTGAGAATCACATGCAGAAGCGGAAAGTGATTACCAAGTAATATGCTACAGAATACAAAACCCAAGCACTTTCCATAAAGGAAACAATTGAATTCCACTCATCCTGGACAATAAGTTGCGAATTTGGGCAGACAAAGGCCAAGAGCAACTGCATGCTGGACTCTTCAGAACTATTTTCAGAGCAACCACAGAAGACCCTCCAAATTAATACACCATAGTGTTTCCAACCCTACTTTAAATTTCTGTTTAACTCATTGCTTTTAAATAAGAAATAATCCTTCAGTGTGCACTCAGTATAAAATAGTGACTCAGACTTTTGGCTAGAGGATGTAACCTGCGGTCATATAAGCATTCAATAGAGTGTACTACTCAGAGTTCAATCAGCCTTGTTGCTTTCAACCACTACTTCTGCAGAGGATTACAGGAACTCTGACAAAAATTCAAATACTTGAGTTTTTTATAATTCCGTAAAAAAAAAAAAAAAGTATCAAGTATCTTTTTCAAGGCAATTCACTTCCTCTGTGTTTTAAAATACAGTTAGGATGCAGACCTACATTTTTGCAATAGCTTTCTAGAATATTATACTCAGGTACACTGTAGTGTTTATAACTTCATAAAACCAAAAAAAAAGCTCTAAACATCACATTTCCTATAAAGATTCTTGATCTGATACTTTTGTTTTGGCAAAGTTAGGCTTAAAGGTCTAAAGATCATTATGTCATAAATAAAAGAATTAGATATAAAGCTTGAGAACAATCAAGAAAATGCTAAGAAAAATCATTGTGCTCACAAGTATGGAGTTCCAAATGTTAATGACATAATGAGTTTTAAAGCATTTCTAACATGTCCTCATCTTAAACACTGACAGCTGACATTTTCATTATTTAAACACTGACAGCTTACATTTTCATTATTGTTATTTATTATTACACAAATCAAAAGACTGATATATGTGGAACTATTAATAGAACATCGAGTGTAGGTTGGTGATTTACATTCACATCTATTATAAAAAAGCATATGATGATGAAATCTAAATGATCCTATACAATATGAAATGTTCAAGGTGATTAATTCTTTTTTTTTTAGAGCGAAAGGTACTTGTGATAGAAACTTATATTGCTCATTTCTGACTGATATTACCATCAGTGCAAACACACAATGCTAACTCCACTACAAACAATCCTACCTATGATGTACAAAAAAGAATAGGTCTGTATATTCAACAAATTAGGATGTTTCTGAAAGTGAAGGAATATCTCTACATGCTACATAATAATGAGATAAACTTTGTTTTTTTTACATGCTGAAAATACAGACCAGTTCAGCCTTTCACTTTCTTTCATGCCTCGCAAGTCATAATTCATATAAAAACCATAAGCATACAGTAGTTTGGATGCTTATGAATGAATGGGACAAGTGACATGGGTTTGTCTGTATATTACTATCCTGAAGAAAGAGTTATGGTCTTCTGCTAACTGTCTGAATAAATTTAGTTATCAGAAGCATTCCTTTAATGTTTCCATGATTTAACTGTTTTGAAAATGGAAAATATTTTGTCACACAAGAATATCATCATTGCTTCAGAGATTCTCCACTGAAGTGCTGACCCAGTACATTTTCTGTATTGTATGACATAGATTGTAATGCTACTGTGTTTTCACCTGTTCACAGAACTCTAACAGAAGGCAGTTCATAGTCTTGATAAACATGGCAAAAACCTCGTTGAAAACAGGGTATCTTTCAAATACAGCACTACAGTTTGAGATAATGCAAACCAAATTGGTTATGCATTACACAATATTCTATAATTAAACTGCCTACAGAAGAACACAGTAGGTGTTTTCCTGTTTGTTTCAATAACTTAAAACATTAACATTGGCAAAAAAACAAGCAAGAAGAATATTTTATTTTTTAGTAAAGATGCATTAATGTTTCTATAGTAATATTTTGCATTACATGATATATATTTTATACATATGTATTTATTTGTACTCTTCACTGGAAAATACTTGAGTGTGATAACACAATGGATTTGTAAAGAAATGAGGAACTGTCTAATCCCAAGGTAAACAGAGTTCTAAAGAACTCTCAGAGGCACCTGTTAAGCATAAGACTTTTTAATTAATGCATCATTTCAACAGAATCCAAAAGTTTTTTGAAAAAATACTTCATCCTTTAAAATAGTCTCCTTTTTAAGAATGAACAATATAAGACTAAAACATTGAGTCAGCTAAGATAAAGCTTTCATTCTACATTAGTTGTCTTACCGAATTTGGTGAAACATTTAATTTTCTCTTGTACAACAGAAATTTATTTATGTGTAAAATTCTAAAGATTTGGGTATGTACAAAGAAAATTAAAAAAAAAAAAAAATAATGATGAGAAAGTGTGACCAAGCTAGGATACTGTGCCACAGAAGGTCTGAGTCACACATTGTGACTCAGTGAATCTCCCAGCAGCCACATGTAATGCCTGGCCTTAAAATTTGGAGGGATAGAATTTGATGGCAGGGATGCAGTGAGCAAGGGAAGGAGGAAGAGTCTGACCAGTTAAGGGCTGATTGCTGCGCTCTTAGATTAAGAACCCTCTGGGGCACAAGTTATCTTTGAATGGATATTTTTATAGTCTCAGTGCTGGGATTTTGAGGGGAATGATAAAGCTCCAATAGCAGTTGTAACAGTAATAAAGCTAGAGAATAGTTTAAAATATTCCCCCTTTAAGTTAATTCTAATTTAGTCCAACTGAAATCTATAATAATAATAATAACAACAACAACAACAATAATAATAACAACCATCAGTCATGTTACTTACAGTATAGCTCTATCCTTATGAAGTCTTGAATTCCCAGGTTTTCTAAAAACACTCCTGAGGAAGCAGTAGTTTTAAAGAAAAACGAGACATCTGCGCTGAGCTCTCCATGGAAGGTGGGGAAATGCAGGTAGGACGTCTCTGTGTTGAAGGATGCTGAATTCCAAAATGTTCCTGGTTGTCAAAATGAAAGATTAAATGATAGATACAATGTTATCTAATATTGCCAGTATAAGATCTATAACCAATTAAACAAAGGAAAGTGCCGAGGTCTAGGAAGTGGTTGCAATGTTCAGAGAGTCTAACTTCAACAGAAGCCTCCTGCTTAGTCCGTAAAACAAAAAGTGGGTGTTCTTGGAGACACAGAAAAATGATTCAGCAAGAGCAATTAAGGTGCTCAGTTCAGACAACCAAAAACCAATTAATGGGAAATAAAATGCCTGGTATCTCAGCTAGACAGTCCAGTTAGGGCCTGATAGCCTTTTATGAAATAAACAAACATAGCAGCTTTGAATGAAGTATTATACCTACATTAGCTAGTATCAACTATAACTATGACAGTTGTTGTGTATATTTCTCACGTAACAAGGAAAAAGAGTCTTGTTATTGTTGTAGTCCAGTGAAGTTTTACCAGATATCACAAAGAAGGTAGGATATAACTCCTAGCAATTACTGTGGAAGGAATTAAAAAAGAAAAAAAATAGTGAAGGTATCTTCTGCTTTAGTGACTGCAGTTTAGAAAGGCATATGCATTCTTAGTTACATGATAAATCCAATGTAAGTCAGTTTTACTCAAAAAAGTTTACAAGACCAAACATAGACATTTTGCTGGTTTGATTTATCTTTAAGCTGGTATTTAATCATAATTTGTTAGATTTTGTTCTTGATTATTAAAAAGCTTATGTAAAATCTGTAATAACACCTCCTAATAAGAACATAATCTGCTTTTATGGTGTTCAACTAGAAGTATCTTCTTATTATTTCTGAATTCTTACAGATGTATCTGTATTTCTTTATTAAGCTACATTGCTTTCCAAATCAAATGAGGCATTCAATACCTTGCTATCTAATTGAACAAGGCCATTGTACGTTCTCCCGATAATGCTGTGATCTGGGTCTAAATATTATGCAAAACCATGATTTTTGCTCCAGGCACTCTCTTTTTAGGAGGGGAGGGAGAAAAAAAAAAAAAAGATTTGTGAATGTCTCTCTCATCTGCAAAATCAAACTCTATGTTACAGTGTACACAGAGGCCTGGTCCACAGCCCAGTGAAGTAAAATCAAAGTCCATTCACTCATTCCTCCTGACATTTCAGCAGAGTTTTAATCGGGGTTTGGATCCCGCATCTAAAAAACCAGCATGGCAGGATATTCATATGTATTTTGGCAATTGCTTGCTGCAACACTTGCCACTTGGGAGTACTGTCAGCCATCAAAAGTTAGAGCAACCATCAGGACAACTTTACATGGTAGGGCAGAGCTGTGAACAGATGGCTCAGGCTGGGAGAGGAAAGCATAGATTTGCACCTCACTCTCCTGTGCTGCCTGATGGGCTCCTTAGGGTCATCATCCTGTGCAAAGTGCCGCCAGCCAATGGCAGCAGCCTTATACATTGGGATCAATTTTAAGCCCATGTTCCTGAACTGTTTCAGGTCATGGCTCCCACAGAGCAAACTTCACCACAGTTATGACTCAAGTATATAACAGCTATTTAAAAAACAATGGGCTGGCTGTTACCAGTAATTCACACACAATAGGAAGTTTAATACCAGCAATTTATACAAAATTGGTAAAACATTTTTAGTCATTAGAAGAGAGACAATAGGAGCACTAACAAACAGTCAGTAGAGCAATGATATAACTAGCTTCAATTAAGCATTTGAATGATCTTTGTAAATCAGAGTGGAGTCCTTGGGGGAGGGCAGGAGTAGGAAGTTTTATTCTTCCTCTCTTAATTTCCTGTATTCTCTGTAGCTGTTCTTTTTTTCAGCTCTGAAAATTATGTAATTTATGAATGTTAAGCTACTGTATCAATAAAGAATGTTAAATATAGATCTAGAAAAAGTATATTACAAAGTATCTTATGCTGTTGTAAATCAGGGTGGGAAATGAATTTCTTCACTTTACAGTATCTGGCTCACAGTCTCCTATTCAGTTTTCTGGAACTGCCAAACATCATGTAGTTAGGAAATCAATAATATTTAGCATTTTATCTGAGTAGTAAGACTGCAGCCTTCCTATGAATAAAAAAAAAGAAGATCCTGCTTGTTATAAATAAAACAGCACATTTATATTGCAAAATTTACTTTATATCTTGGCATATATCAACTAATCTTACCAACTTGAAATTTAAAGTGAAAAAAGGACAAATGAGAACAAGACGGATAAATTAGCCATTTTAATGTTGCAAAGATAATAAAAGTGACTCTCAAAACAATTGTGCAGTTGCAAATTGTAGCACTCTTCAAGTTTTTAATCAAAACAGAAATCTGTTTGTTATTTGTATCAGTTCTTCTTGATATTTGTAATTGTTGCATCATTCATTCTTTCAGTGTGAAACTCCAGGAGGAGCAGTGAGTGCTGAGGCAGAGAAAATAAAGATCTTATGTCACCAAACAATATTTTCTGTGCATATTTTTTTGACTAGTCTTCCATCTCCCCCAAACAAAACAAATCTCTAAATGACATGACTCATAAAATACTACCCATCTCTTACGGACTGACATAGCTAAGGCACACTGTTATTAATCTGCAGGTGCTAGTTGTGTTCTCAAAGCAGCTGTAGTCTTTGTGAAGATGACATTTAATGTGCCTTCCATCTTTCCCATATTCTCCCTCTTAGAGGGATTTTGTGAAACACTTAAAAGGTACTGAGAGACCTTCCAGCAGAGAGTCCATTTCTCTGTAAGAGTTAGCTTCTGGTCTCTGGTAGATTGAAAGGATCTTTGAATTTCACT